CCTGGGGCATGGCAGGAGTTACAGCATGCCAGCTTTCTTTCTTCTTTTAATTAAAAATCCCCCACCAGCATTGTGGATTATTATAATCCTTGATAAGCAAGGGAAACAAGCAGCTTATTAAATCCCTAATGACATGTCAGAGTGATGGACCTTTTGCCATGCAGGTCACCTGCACGCTTGGCTTATTTTGGGGGGGTGGGGGGTGGCTTCCGAGAAGCATCTAGCACAGTGTTTCTGTGTTTATGGATCTCCTGGTGATGCAGGAGAACCATAAATTATCCAGCCACTATCCTATCCTCTTATCATTTTATCATCTATCTTGTTATCTTATCTTATCATCTTCACCTTATTATTACACAGGGCATGGGGAGGAATGGAGTACTCTCATTCTGACAAGATCAGTTTAGGTAAAGCCTGCTAACTCTTCCCACACCTGTGTCCTTTTGATGGCCTGATGGCTGAGTTCACATAACACACTAGACCAGTGTTTCTCAACCTTAGTAACTTTGTTCTCCAGCCAGCTTGGCTGGCTGGGGAATTCTGGGAGTTGGAGTCCACACATCTTCAAGCTGCGAAGGCTGAGAAACACTGATTTAGCCCAAAGAAGAGAAAGCTGAGGGTAAACATGATAGCAATCTTCCAATACCTGAAGGGCTGTCACAGGGAAAAGAAGGTGGACTTATTCTCCATAGTGCCCAAGGTTAGGTCAAGAACCAACAGGTGGAAGCTTTACAGAGAGAAATCCAAACTCAAAATAAGGAGGAATTTCCTGTCCATGAGAGCTATTAAGCAGTGGAACAGCCTCCCTCCTGGAGCCATGGGTGCTCCATCACTGGAGGTTTTCAAGACAAGATGGGATGGCCATTTGCCTGGGATGATGTGAAGATTCCTGCACTGGGCAGAGGGTTGCAGTAGAAGTCCTCCAAAATTCCTCCCAAACCTATGATTCGATGCTATGATCCAGTGACATACAACCTAGCAAGGGCCAAGGAAGATGGTGGTGGATTCCCCAGAATTGGGGGGGGGGGGACAGCCCTGTCTGTTGGCATTCCAGCTGCCCTTTCTTCCTCCACTGAATACTTTTGAATTCCAATATTCACTTTTCTTTTCCCCCACCCATCTCTTGTCCCCATCCCCACCCCCATTTTGTTTTGTTTCCCCAGAAAAGGAAACACTCATCTTGGTCCCTTCTTCTCCCTTGAACTGGTATTAGTCCTCTGCACCAACCTGATGTTGATGGAGCCATAATGTTCCTTGCTAGAACAGGCACCCTCTTAATCTCCTCTTGGTTTGGGGAATCAATAAAAACCAGCCACATTTTTAATAAGCAGAAGTATATTCATAGAACAGAATCCTAGTTGGGAGGGGAGGGGTTTGAAGGCATCAAGTCCAAACATCCCACTCCATGAGAAATTCAGGTTCAAGAAGTTCACAGCTGCCTCCTCCCTGCTTGTCCAGAAAAGGAGATTCCTTCACCCCTCTGAGTGGCTGTCCTACTTTCTCACGGCTAAACTTTCCCAGTTCCTGCCCTCTCTCTTCATAAGGCTAAGTTGCTAGATCCCTGGTCATCTTCTCTGAAATGGTTCACATTTCACTGAATCCTTCTGGTCTGTGCCCACCACTGGATGCGGACCTCAGGGTGAGATCTGACCCCTGCAGAATGAAATGGAGTTATTGCTTCTGAAGATTTGGAAACAACACTTCCCTGGGAATAGTCAAAAATTGCACTCTTATTGCTTGCAGCCACCACTCATTATTTGGCATGTCACTTTGTGACCTTATGATCAGCTACAATTCCTCCATTCTTTTCATGCAGACCAGATATTCCTCACTCGTATTTGAATTCTCCACCTGACTAAGTTACAGGAGTAGAATCGGCATTTGCACGATGACCATCTGCTAGATCAGGGTTTCTCAACCTTGGGAACGTTAAGATGTCTGGACTTCAACTCCCAGAATTCCCCAGCCAGCCATGCTGGCTGGGGAATTC